CCTCGTGCCTTCATTGCCTCTTCCTCTATTTGCTACCTCCACGACATAACTATTGTAAGTATTGTTCGGTGGCAAGAAGCCGACGTTGTTTTTTAGCTAGACTTAGTACGCGATTTACTCGATAAGCTATGCTTAACTTACTTTCGTCAATGGTTTTTTGATATGTCCAAGAGCAAAATGCTGCATTCAAAATTCCCCCCTCCACGGCGTGCCTTTCTGTAAATAATATCTATAAGATCAAAAATAATGTGAACAGATGTAACTAAAACACATACAGAACTACAGATGTAAGTAAACACACGCAAAACTACATAAGTGGAAAAAACGGAGCCCCACAGCGTCCCTTTCTGTATGTTTTGGGGTTCAGGGCCCAGGGCGTAGATTTTAAGATGTACGGTCCTGACATCTAGCCTGTCCGATTCTTAAAGCCAGAAGGTCTCCGTGCGTCAGACTGTGCAGTGTCCGCATGCGTGCTCAGTTTTGCATTTTGTGGAGTGGTGTATGGTTCGGCCCCTAGCCGTAGCCCCTAAACCCCACTCGAACCATATGCCTTGCCTGGATTGTCCGAGTGTGAGCGCCGAAACCCCAGCCGTAGCCCGAAAATGTTCGTCCTGGCTCTGCTGCACTCAGCAGCCGGCATAGAGTACTCTAGGGTGTAATGTTTGGGTTTTCATGCGTCTCTTCATAGCCAGTTTGAGAATCAGGGCCCACGGAGCCTATGCCCCTGTAGCCGTGTTGCATCGTTTTGCTGTAAACCCTAACTCCCAACCCTAAACTCTAAACCTAAACTCTAAACTAAACCTTCATCGTCCGGGAAGCGAGAGTCCACACTCTAAACCCTAAACACTTACACCTTAAACCACTAAACCCGGAACCCTAAGCCCCCCCCCAAAAAAAACCGAACCCTTCACAGCAGCAATGCCACCGGCCCATGAATCTGTGCCTGCCCTGTGCGAGAGCGTGAGTCGAAACCCTAAACCCTAAACCCTAAACCCTAAACTCTTCCCCTTCCTGTCGAAGGAGGATGACAACTTCTATGCGCAGGAGACCTTGAGCTCTGGCGAGGCCTATGTTTTGGGGTTTAGGTTTAGCGGTTAAAGCACAAGGTTTGGGCTTTGGGGTTAAGGGTTTGGGGGTTAAGGGTTTGGGGTTTAGGNNGGGTTTAGGGTTGATGGTTTGGGGTTGTTGTGTTTGGGGGTTTAGTGCTGATCCTCCCTTCATGTAGAGGAGGGGTTAAGGTCGAATCGAGATGGGTAGTTGTCGTGGTGTCTGTAAAACTCTGTTCTTGCTTTTGTTCGTAGGTTTGGCATCTTTTTAAAGAGGAATCTCCGAAAAATCTGCTTTGCTTACCTTGTAAAGGGCTGAAACAGAGCTCTTCGTTTCGAAGCTTTCGGGTTGATGGGTGCATCTAGAGTCGACTACTGCTACCACTAC